TTTTTTTTTGTTGAGAAATATCAAGGTGTACAGAACCTTTAATTTTTAAACCTTCATGATAAAAGCACCCTTTTTTTTTTTTTTTAATGGATACACACCCCAAAAAAAAAATTATGATGCACACACACACACAAAAAAAAAAGACACTTTTTTTTTTTTTTTTTTTTTTTTTTTTAACTGGACAACTTTTGCTAATTTGCCGGAAAACGGGTCCGGCGTCCCTTACATCTGTCCCGTGGCTACCGAGGCTGGGCGAGGCAACATACCCTTGTGCAAGACCCGTTGCAATTTCAACGGATTTCTCATATCCCTTTTTTGGGGGGCTAACTGCAGAAATATCCCGTTTTCCAATTTTCCAGCGGAAATGTTGGGTTTTGGCTTTTGTTTTGTTATTTCCGTTTTTTTTTTGTTGAGAAAGAGCACACTTTTTTTTTTTTTTTTTTAATGATACACACCAAAAAAGAAAATTATGATACACACACACACACAAAAAAAAAAAGACACTGTATTTATCCACATACCCTTGTGCAAAAGCCGTTGCAATTTGAACGGATTTCTCATATCCCTTTTTTGGGGGGCTACATGCAGAAATATCCCGTATTCCTAGTTTCCAAGCGGAAATGTTGTTCGGGGGCAAGGTCCCACTTGCGCAAATTAGGAGGGAGATTTCGGCGTCGATCTTTGCTATCTACGGTCAGTATCTCTTAATTCGTTCGTGCAAGTGGGACCTAGCCTCGGGTCCGAAAGATGTACTGTTGTAACGACAGTGGGATCCCGGCCGCATGCATTCCATTGTCTCGGAAAAATTAAGAGTTTTAATTTGCTGTGAAACTAGGGTTTTCATCCGAACACAACGCACCCTCATCTTGGCTGAACAGGACCGGAAAAATAGCTTGCATACCTTCAATTTCAGGGTGCGTTATGTTGGGGGCAAGACGGTAGGGGGACCTCTTAAGTGAGAAACTGCAGACATAGACACGTCCACACCAGAACGCATAACAGTGATAGCCACGGCGCAAATATGCAAAAGGAATAATCTCGAAAGATTGGGCGCCAAGTCCCTATGAAACCCTATGAGCTTACGTCAGAGCGCGCGCACTTAAGTGCGCACCCCCGCGCGCTTTATCCCCCCCCCGCGCTCAAAGTGCTCAAAGCGCTTTAAAAAAAAAAAAAAAAAAAAAAA